TATTTAGACCTATCTATGGCCTTCAAAAAGTTGACGACTCTACATGAAGATGACGTTGTAAAGTCGAAACATGTAGAGTCGTCAACTTTTTGAAGGCCATAGATAGGTCTAAATAAAATGTTTTTAATTGTGTACCAGTTTTAACGTTGAATATTATTTATGATTTTAACTTTTAAGCACCTGATATAGTTGCAGAATGTGTTTCGTTTTTACTCAATTATATTCGTGGCTTTTCAACAACAGTCATTAACAGACGATAATCGTCCTAATTTCTTGTAATGTTTTTCCTACTCACCACTGTCCTCCGGTAGGTAAGCGGTAAGTTTAAGGACTTGCAACGCTAACATCCGAGGTTCAACTCAATGCGGTGAACAGCCCATTACGTAGCTTTGCGTTAAGAAACAACAACAACTGACCGTGAATTACTTTTTAACACAAAGATTTTAGTTTTGAGCACTGATGAGTTAGTTACTCAGAAGACAAGATTTTCCTTATTATTGTAGTGCAGCCATCTAAATGCTACGCTTATTGTTCAACAATTAGGTCTTTAATAAAATATTTTCAGGCACACTCTACAGTGATAAACTGCTGAGATCATAAATATTTAATGTGGAGTTAGCTTGAAATCATAACTTTCAGTTAATGAAGTAGGCCCGGCATATCCAGGTGTTTAGGATGCTCGACTCGCAATCTGAGGGTCGCGGGTTCGAATCTCCGTCACACCAGTGACCCTTTCAGCCATGTAGGCGTTATAATGTGACGGTCAATCTCACTATTCATTGGTAAAAGAGTAGCCGAAGAGTTGGCGGTGGGTGGTGATGACTAGCTGCCTTCTCTCTAGTTTTACACTGCTAAATTAGAGACGGCTAACGCAGATAGCCGTAGTGTAACATTGCGCGAAATTCAAAACAAACAAACTGAATAAAGCCTAAATTTAAAAAGGCATTCAATGCTAAGCGTGAATATCACGTTTGGATTTCACTGTTTTAATGGTGTATCTTAAATAACTACCAGACACTTTTTTATGTTCTTATAAAATGCATAAATGAGAGAAACCTTATATTTATCTATGATTTCGAGTCTAACCCCTTATAAAATTTTAGTTTCAAGCAACAACAGAAATTGAATTCACTGATGAGTCGTTAAGTGACGCTAACATCTTTAAATCTATAACCGTTGCATATCGCTAATAACTCACGAAAATTTATTAAAATATTATATACGCGTGTAAATATGGCAGTTACACGTCATTATACGCATAAGAACGTGTCACAGATTTAAAGTGATATTTTTTATTTTTAAAAATAGTTATAAGTCTGTAAATAATAATTCACGGCCTTAACGAATATTCGGCAGATCTTATTTTTACTAGCATGTAATACATAGAATCAATCTTGGATGACGAAGATTGCTTGTTTTTTGAATTTCGCGCAAAGCTACACGAGGGCTATCTGCGCTAGCCGTCCCTAATTTAGCAGTGTAAAACTAGAGAGAAGGCAGCTAGTCATCACCACCCACCGCCAACTCTTGGGCTACTCTTTTACCAACGAATAGTGGGATTGACCGTCACATTATAACGCCCTCACGGCTGAAAGGGCGAGCATGTTTGGTGGGACGGGGATTCGAACCCGCGACTTGCAGATTGTGAGTCGAGTGCCCTAACCACCTGGCCAATGGATGACGAGGAACAAACCCACTTTGAGACTAATAATAATGCTTGGAGACGGCTTGAATGGGTAATGAAGAAAAACTTTAATATAAGTTTATCATAACAGCAAATGTACAACGTTTCTACAAGGTGCCTGATGATGACAAAACCTTGTCGAAACGTTGTACATTTGCTGTTATGTTAATAGAATTAATCATTTGCAGTTTTGTCATTTTTAGCTGTTTTACATAAAATAAATTAACTGTTGTTTTTTCATAATCTACATACAAATGTTTTTAATCAGTGCTTATATTATCAACAGCAACATAGATTTAAACTTCAAATTGTGTTGTCGTCATTCCCCATAACGATGTTCCTCATTCCTACGAGTACACACACTCGCGCGCACACGCACACGTACGATTGTGAGCCGTCTTTTCCTTTAGTTGAAACTATAGGTGTCGATTGTGCTGGTGAAAAAACACGTAATTTTATTTGGAAGCCAGCGTCTGGATCGACCAACCTGTAATGACGGCTGGACTAGCACGTATCACGTGACCCAAAATTACTCTTTTTTTATTTTTTTTCTTCGTAGCAGTTCAGTTAACATTATAGATTTTGTTTCGTTTTCATGAGAACATTGGATCTATTTTTATAATTTTTCCTTGTCCATAATTCGTGGATTTGAACGATAAAAATAAATGGATGCCTACAAACGAGTTTAGTAACTATTAATTCTTTAATAAAAGTAAGTTGACGAGATCGCGCATATATGTCTAGACACTCTTTGTTTGTTTGTTGTTAAGCTGAAAGCTACACAAATGACTATCTATGCTGTGCCCACCACGGGTATCGAAACCTGATTTTTAGAGTTACAAGTCTTCAGACTTACCATTGAGCCACTTGGGAGCGTGTATAAACGTGTCAACAAGTAGGATCACTGGCGAATCAGTTTATTTGTTTGCTGTTTCGGATATTCACGTAAAACTACATGAGGGATATCTGCGTTTGCTGTAATTTTGAACTGACAGTGTATTAGCTATATATCTGTGTGCGCCAGCAATAGCATGCGTGGGGCGCGCGTATACCCGATTCAATTTTATTACTCATCAGGATCTCTGGCAACCTACCCTCAAATTGAAATTCTTTTAAACAGGATTAGAATAAAATAATCTATGAGCATGGTCAAATACGTCAATCGAAAAGGTTTAACCTCTTGAGTCCAAAACTGTAATTAGATCTGAAATCGATCAGGAGATGACGGAGCTGTGAGCTAAACGTTTGTACTTGAAAAACAACAACAACAGAGAAAAACAAACTCAGAGCCGTTCTATGAGCCGCTATGCCGCGGCTGAAAAACAGAAAACTTCAATAGTAAGTTTCAAAATCATTCTGTTCTTATTTTTTGCAAACGGAATTCGTCGTCATAGGTATCAATATATATCATTGCTTATATTAATTGGAACCGTTGATTTCCAGTACACATTCTCAGGAATGGTGACAGTTTTCTTTTTGATGCAAGAAGCATAGATACTAATCAAGAAAAGAGAATAAAGAATGGGCATACAAAACGTTCCTCCGACCGAAAGATGGAGAGGAAAAAAATATCGACCTTCTTATATAGCTAGGAATCAAAGTAATCCGTGTAGCACACTTAAGAACTGTGAAGACTATCGATCTTATATAGCGAGTGTCTGTTACTTGAAAAACAAAACAAGAAAATAACGTATGCAGTCAATTGCTGATCGAAGATACACTTGAGAGTTTCTGTTTGTCCGAGTCTCTGTTGATGGTTTCAGTATAAACATCACACACGTAAGGAATGTTATTACTTTAGGGCGATTTGAGAACAGACATTTGCAATGACTCGTTAGGGAGCTGACAAACCACCGTGTGTCAAGGGTTAATTACCTCCAAACGACATGCGTTCTTCTGCCTAACTAGAAGTTTTCGAATATCATTTCTGTTTGTCGCAGCGGTATGTCTGCGGACTTACAACGCTACAAACTGGGTTTCGATACCCGTGGTGGGCAGAGCACAGATAGCTCATTGTGTAGCTTTGTACTTAACTTCGAACAAACAATCAAACAAACATTTCCGTTTGTTCGATTTACTAATTCGTATCACAACCCAAACCAACACTATTTTAAAGTATTAACACAGTAATTGATAACGATGGTGTTGGATTATTCTGAAAACATCTAACTTTGAACGTTAAAACTACGATACTTTTAACATACATTTGTCTCAATGTATAAGATTGTTGTTGTTTTTCTTCAAATACACAAATCACCAAACTGACCGGGTCATTCAAAGCATTTTGTATAATAATATATTTTAATAGCATAAAATCCATGTTACTCCGGTGGCTCAACGCTAAGCCTAAGAGTTGAACATTCACTTAAGCCATCCAAGCAATGTGCTGTTGCTAGTCGTAGAGCAAATAGGATTTTAGGTTGTATCTACAGAAATAATAAATACAAGTCACGAGAGGCTATAATGTCCTTGTATAAGTCATTTGTTAGGCCAACATTTGGAATACTGTGTTCAGTCTTGAGCTCCTTATCTTAAAAGTGGCATTGAATTGTTGGACAGCGTTCAAAGGAAGGCAGTTAGGGTGATACCTGAGATAGAAAGGTTGTTATACGAGAAAAGGTTCAGATCTTTGAAGTTACTTTCTTTTGAAAAAAGAAAAGTGAGAGAGAATCTGATTGAGGTATTTAAATTTTTTAAGGGAATTGATAGCGGTGATGCATCATCCTTTTCCCGTATTTAATGGTGAGAATGGTAAGATTATGGGACACAAATATATATTTTAGCAGGGTAGGAGTCGCCTTTAGCTAAGACTGCTTTATTTTTTCTAACTGGGCGATCAGATTCCGGCTTTGTTTGTTTGTTTTGATTTTCGCGCAAAGCTACTCGAGGGTTATCAGCGCTAGCCGTCTCTAATTTAGTAGTGATAGGCTAGAGGGGAGGTAGCTTGTCAACACCACCCACCGCTGTCTCTTGAGCTACTCTTTTACGTACGAGTAATAGAATTGACTTATAACGCCCCATGGCATATTCGGTGACGGGGATTCGAACTCGCGACCTAACCACCAGGCTATGGCAGGCTATGCCAGGCCTCCGAAATGGATTGCCTTCAGATGTGGTTGATGCAGATAACTTAGGGGATTTTAAGGGAAGGCTGGATAAATATATGAATAATAAGGGCTAGCTTTGAGTGTTATATTCTTATTTTAGGGTTTATTATAACAGATGGGATGCCCTAAATGGATAAACATGCCCTTGTTGTCCTTAAATTATAGGTAACACATTATAAACAAACAATAAAATTGATAATGTATTTTGTTAACGTTGTGTAAGCGACAAAAATAAATACAACTTAGTTAACCTATCAAATACTATTTGTAAAGCATAATCGAAATACCGATATTAGTTATAAATAAATAATAAGGAAATGATCTATAAAAAGGGGAAAATATGTAAAATAGATATTGTTTTCACTATACCGAAAGAACTAGAGAAACTGATATGTTCATATCTTAGTTTATTAGTTATAGCTCTCGTTACGTTTCTGAAAGATCTAGTAAATATTTAGTCTAGAACATCAAGACCGCCTATCAACATATATACTTTACCATAATAATAATAATATTGTTGTCATAATAATAATAATACTGTTGTCATAATAATAATATTGTTATCATAATAATAATATTGTTGCCGTAATAATAATATTGTTGTCATAATAATAATAATGTTGTCATAATAATAATACTGTTGTCATAATAAAAATACTGTTGTCATAATAATAATAATATTGTTGTCATAATAATAGCATTGTTGTCATAATAATAATACTGTTGTCATAATAATAATATTGTTGCCATAATAATAATAATAATAATACTGTTGTCATAATGATAATATTGTTGCCATCATAATACTGTTGTCATAATGATAATATTGTTGTCATAATAATAATATTGTTGCCATAATAATAATAATATTGTTGTCATAATAATAATATTGTTGCCATAATAATAATAATAATAATACTGTTGTCAT